AGCACGTAAATGTCACATTTCTATAACATACGCGTTGAAGTGCGCACACATCTATAGATTTGTGTTACTTCGTGGTGTTGGTGACGAATTAATGGAGGGTTTATCTATAATTGAGGAACTCCGCTGTATTGATGTTTTGGGAGTGAAACCGTGACAGTGAACAATCGTGTCTGATATCTGGGCCGAGGTGTCATGTGATCTCTAAACTCAATGGGGCCATGCACTTGAAAACAGATTGTCATAGAAATCTGGGACAACAAATCAAATCATGGTGTTTTTCCTCGAATATTTATAAGTTTTTATTTATTTATAAGTATTTATAAGTTTATAAAGTTTAAAGAAGTTTATAAAGACATGCATATTGAAAAGGCCTATAGAGAGATGTTGTAACCGATCAGAAACTATTCACCATGGACGACACCAAAGAAGTACTTCACTGGAGAGTAAGTCAAGTTCAAGTGCTAAGCCACTCTCCCGGTCCCCTAAATGGCTTAGCGTAATGGCGTAAGTGATACCATGGAGGTAAAGTGCAAATGTGTCTCCTATCCAGGAATGTATTATAAAAGGTGTTTCTTTTTTAATCCCGATCATTGCTTCCAGGGAATACCATTCTTATTGTTGTTCAATCTCATCATTTCTGCTAATAACCGTACTTAAATGGGGCTGAATACATTAATCAAAATTAGGTTTACCTTACGTGAGAAAGGATGAAATAAATACTCGAGAAATTAAGCCCCGTTTAGAAACTATACCATTAATGCACAACGTGAGGATTTTTGCACGGGTCGGCAATGAACTTTATAGAAACAGTTTCCAACTGCGAGCTTCCATCAAGTTCCTTATCAATCGTTGATAAGTGATCGTGTATTTGTACCTGTATTATATAATTTAAACTGAATGCTCACCTTAGCGGGAGCTGATAATACTCAGGCCTTAATCTAAAGAGCGCAGCCCTAATTGTAGGCCCTACGTTCTTTATTCGTTTCAAACAGCGACAGTTTATTGCCACAGCATTAAATAAATTTCAATAAATGTTCATCTTGGCGTTCGTCGTCTGGGATGTAATAATATTCATTATCCAGCGGTGCAAGTAAAGTTGTGGCTGGCCGATACTTGTATCGGGGTCAGGCCAATGAAAAGTGGGGCTCTAATTTGTAAGTCATATACTTTCTACATACTAACCACTGGGGATGATGTTGGGGTTAATCAATGTTACAGCCAAGAGAAATGGATGATATGTATGTGGTGTTGATAATTACAATATGTATTTGTTATTGAATGCTGTAGTGCTGTGTTAAATCTGTTGAGTGGGGCCAATAATGTCAAAACTATACATCACAGAGACTCAAAATGAGCAGAACAATAACTGAATTTTTTTGTGTCATGGATTACTACAAATGTTCAGGAAACATTGGCATGGTTACACGCAGTTAGAATTTTACATCACAGTTTTCTTTTAAGTGCGAGGTAAAAAGGACCCTCTTTACAGGGTAAAATGGCTTTGTATAGTGTTCTACATATTTTTGTACTTAAACTAAAGGTGTTGGCATAGTACATACATGTATTTTGTTTTCCCAAAATATACAGGCCTACACATATAATTTTGAAAAATGATATAACTGTATTTATTGGAGCCATTTCTTGAATCTAAGTTATAACATGCATACAAACAATTACATGAATAGGAAAGCCCACCAGTTCCAGTATACATCTCAAACAGTGAACAATTTTTAATTTTCCAAGTTCGTTTTTCCTGTATATATTTTTAGAGTTCATGTGTACTGTTCTGTTGTTGGAGACATATTGTTTTATTTTTGAAAAAAAAAAAGTCGTTTTGAATTATTTTCAAAGTTCGTTTTTGCAAAAAGGGTATACATGTATTATCAAGTTTGTTTTCAAATCTTATTAAAAATGAACTTTGAACAAACTTTCAAAAAGGATCTTGTATACTGATTTTTTCACAGAAACAACAGGTCCTTTGGTACATGGTAGTATGAAGCACCAAAATTGGACAACCTAAATTTCTCCTTGTTTTGTTAGTAGATTTTTCTGGACTGTAGAATTTGCTGCTCCAAGAGCAGAAAAGTAGAAACTTCTAATTCCCACAAGCAAAAATTGATGTGACGGTCCAACAGTGGACAACACAATTTTCTAATTTTCTGCATAAAGCAAGGAATTTTCTGCCTGTAGACTTTTATGATTTTGAAGTTGTCACATCTGTTAAAAACCCTCAATTCTCTGCCAGCAGAAAATTCGGATTTAACAGACAAATCTTGTGGTGCTCCGAAAGTGGACTACCTGGAGAAGAATAGTCCTTCATATCGCTCCTCTCTTTGAGTGCCTCTCACTCTTTTCGGTTTCTTTCTTTTTCTTTTTTAGTTTAAATTTTTTCGAACTCCTTTTTAGAGTGCTTGTACTAATTAGAGTGGTTTTAAAAGGGACTCACTCTTTTTAAGAGTGAGGTTTTCATTTTTCTGCATTTAGTGAGTACTTTCAAGTTGACATCGTAACATCGCATTACAACCAACCCAGATATTTGTGCACCATTCCTAAGAAACTTGTCTAAACATGCCTGTTGTAACGTCCGTCTCTTTCTCACAGCCCGCCCATCCTTCCTGGTGACGGCATGTCTATAAAGGCTTTGCATGGTGGCCGTCTTGCAGGGCAGTTCCTTCATTTCACAAGGAAACTTCCTTTGTGCATACCATCTTGAATAAAAGGACACACAATTGTGCGTTTAGGGATTTGGGTATCCACTTTGTTGATGCAAGGTTTAGAATATACAGGTAGATGCTGAGGCAAATGGCCCCACAATAGCTGTACAAAAATTGAAGTTTTCCATAGGTTTGTGCACAAACATGGATGCGCTCAGCAGGCTTGACTTTTTACATTGGGTTAGCAACCTAGTGTTCAATACCTGCCTGGTTTAAAACACACTCAGTTGTTGCATTTTCACTCCACAGCATACAAACTTCATCCCCTATACACATATATACACATAACTGGCATACTGGGTACCAAATCTAAATTGGCTGCTATAAAAAGCAGTTGTTTACTAATTAATAAGATTGGTACGAGCACGGTAAAACCACTGTTCTCCATAAATCTTCCTCTGCAGAAATGATTTTCAAGTTCCCATGCTTGCTACTTTGCATCAAGACAGATGTAAGTTTCAGTTGTGGCAATCTGGTAACTTCGTTTAGTTATATTGCTGACCACTAGCAGTACAGGAGTGCTGGTTTTATTTTGTTTACATAAATCTGTGAAAATGTACACGTAGGTGTTTATTCTTCACTTATAGTTTTGAGAAATCTTCAGCTAGTAGAGTGGTATCAATTGTCATTTAGTTTCTCATTACCAGGTTTGTTCTTCACAATTTCTGATTTCTGTTTTCCAAAGCAGTCCATTTTCTTTCTCATCGGTAGTTTATTCAATCAAATCACTAATAAACTGGTATCTGAAAAAAGACATTGCACTTGCAGCAATCTCATATCAAGACACTTCATTGAATCATCCCATCCCTACATCCCACAACTGTAAAGCAGCTAATTTCTTAGACCCAAATCCTATCCTCCAAGGTACAGATATAGTCAGCACCTCCCAAGTTAATGCAAGAGAAGTACACTGGATGCTTTTCAACTTCCTGGCAAATATCCACATCTTCAAGGCGAGCATCTCAGTAGTCTCAGGCTACGAGCAATACTGTTCAATAACCATCTCTGCCTAACCCTATAACCCATGTGCCCCGGGTAGAGAAGAGAAGCAATTGCAGCAACATACATTGCTCAAGGACACAAGTACCATTAACTTTGCTCAAATACACATTCATCCAGAACAGCTTTGTCCCAACTACACACAATGTTCTATGAAACTGTTGCCTTGCTTACATTCTGACTGAGTCTTCATGACCTTGTAACCATAATTTATTGGACGATTGTCCTTGTTATAAATGACCTACATGTACATGACTAACACGTGTCATGCTTCTGCACAGCTCTGATTGTATGTACATGTACCTTTTTCCATATGATCAAATCTTGCATCATCCTTTAATACGATCTCATTGATAGTGATCCTATCATTAGTTCAGTTTTTGTGACGCTAAAGTTCGTCCTGCTAGTGTGTTGCATGGCCACTGTTCGGTCGTACCCAAAGAAAACTACCACGGCTCATACATGTGGGATAGATCCACAAGTGGAATGGTATCATAATGCTTTGACTACACCACGTAATTTGCTGACAAAACATAATGGACACACTACTTCACATAATTCAACACGGGCTATTTAAAGGGATAGCTCCCCATGTGACATATTAAGAACTTCACATAATGGATTGACAACTTCACATAATGGATTGACAACTT